GGGGGGGGTCCGGTCGTGGACCTGGGCCTGGGTGCTGTCCCTCTGCTCTTCAGCTCAAGGCTAGCGCTCTACCACTTGAGCCACAGCACCACTTCTGCCTTTTTTCTTTTTGCTTATGTGGTGCTGAGGAATCAACCCAGGGCCTCATGCACGCAAGGCAAGTGCTCTACCATGAGCCATCTTCCCAGTCCCAGATTTTCTGGGTTTTTATCTAGTTAAAACAACTTGTTTCATGTCTTCATGTGAAAGACTAGGGCAATTTTACACCAGGTCCATGTTTTCAGCCTTTTAAAAACAAAAACCATGGGGCTGGGAATGTGGCTTAGTGGTAGAGTGCTTGCCTGGCATGCATGAAGCCCGGGTTTGATTCCTCAGTACCACATAACAGAAAATACCAGAAGAGGTGCTGTAGCTTAAGTGGTAGGGTGCTAGCCTTAAGCAAAAGAAGCTCAGGGACAGTACCCAGGCCCTGAGTTCAAGCCCCAGGATGGGCAAAAACAAAACAAAACAGGGTCTCATCTCAGAGCAAGTTGCTGGTGGCTCACATCTGTAATCTTAGCTACTCAGAAGGTTGAAATCTGAGGATCATGGTTCACAGCCAGTTTAGGCAGGAAAGTCCATGAGATTCTTAATCTCCAGTTAACTTCCAAAAAGCTGTGGCTTAACTGGTAGAGTGCTAGCCTTGAACAGAAAGGCTCAGGGACAGTGACTAGGCCCTGACTTCAAGCCCCACGATGCGCACACACAAAGAGTCTCATTAGATTGTACAGGTTGGTCTCAAACCTAGTTCTAGGATTACAGGAGTCCTCCTGCCTTTTGTTTTTGTTGTTTCATTGTTAATTTGGTAACCCTCTTTTGTGTAACTACCACCACCAACAGGACATAGAACAATTTGTCCAGAAAACTCCCTACACCCTCTCATTACACTCATACCTCTCTGACACTGCTAACCCCTGGCAAGTACTGATCTATTCCCATCACCAGTTTTATTAAGACTCTTGTGAATGGAATCATACAGTTAGTAATCTTCTGAGGCTGGCTTCTTTCATTTAACAAGATGCTTCTGAGATTTGTCCAAGCTCTTGCTTGGACAGAGATCAGTAGTTTGTTCCTTTTTACTGCTGAGTAGTATTCTATTGCATGCACCTGCCTATAGTTCTTTGTTATTTTAATCCATTCTCCAGTTTTGGGCAATTATGGGTAGAACTGTTATAAACATTTGTATACTTTTTTGTGTGTTAATACAGGTTTTCATTTCTCTAGGGTAAGTGTACAGAAATGGCATTTCTGGCTTTACAGACAAGCTGTTTTCCAGAGTTCTTTGCATTCCAAGAATTCTAGTTTCTCCACATCTTCCTCAGTTTGGGTTTTTTTGTTTGTTATGGGTCAGTTGTGGGGCTTGAACTCGGCCTGGGCACTGTCCCTCAGCTCTTCAGCTCAAGGCTAGCACTCTACCACTTAAGCCACAGAGCCACTTCAGATTTTCTGAGTGGTTTGTTGGAGATAAGAGTCTCATCAGCTTTGCCTGGGCTGGCTTTAAACCATGATCCTCAGATCTCAGCCTCCTGAGCAGCTAAGATTATAGTCGTGAACGACCAGCACCTGCCTTTTCCAGTTTATATTTTCAGGTTTTAAATATATATATATATATATATATATATATATATATATATTGATATTGATATATATTGGCTTATATCATTTATGGGGAGGAATTTCATTGTATATCTCCATAGGTTAACACTATTTTCTCAATCAATTTCACCACTTTTAACATACTCCCCAGTTCTCCTCCCTCTAAGAAACTGTCCCCAACAGGTTTCCTTGTTCCTAGTTCCTAGTTGCAAATAGTCTATTCAGTCTTTATCTTCTCACTGCTGTTCCCCTATGCACAGTTCTCTCCCCTCCATCCCCCTTTTGATCATCGTCTGGGGAGTTTATGCTGCTCTCATATGGCATCTTCACTATTTTTATAAAAGCCATTCATATAGGTAAAGAGTAGTGTCTCTAACATTTATTTACTTATTTTACCAGTACCAGCAACTGAACTTGGAGCTCACTTGCTTGCATCACTTGCCCATAGTTGGCACTTTGCTCCTTGAGCCACACCTCAAGCCCAACTGTTTGCTGGTTATTTTTTTGTGTGTGTGTCGGTCGTGGGGCTTGAACTCTGGGCGTGGGCGCTGTCCCTCAGCTCTTCAGCTCAAGGCTAGCACTCTACCACTTAAGCTACAGCACCACTTCCAATTTCCTAGTGGTTTATTGGAGATAGG